AGACTTAATTTCTGGTTATTGTTGTTCTAGAAGGAAGTTTGAAGCTAATAATTGTGGAACGTGGGTTTTGTTTATGTTTCAGAAGGAAAGGGAATATGAACTGAGGTATGCAAACGGCTGTAAGAGTCATCTCTGTTATGAGGGTGAGGGTGCATAGTGGGCTGGATTGTTGCAAACCATTCTTCTGAATTCTGTTTTCATGAATTTGTATACAAACAAGACTGCAGAACAGTGTGGAAATTTGCATTTTCCCAAATATTGTTTTATATTTTTCAAGTTAAAAAAATGATACACAAATGGAAGTATTAGAGAATAGTTTACAGAAAAATCCATGTGAGTTTCCTTAACGTGTATATATTGATCTGGATATAGGATGAAATACATTCAAAGCTGGAACAAGATACTGAGAAAAATAAAAATTGGCAAATTTGTCTATTCCCAGAAACACAGTGTTCTCAGTTTTTAAGTAGATAAGATTTCAGTGATGTTTTGTTGTGCTTGATTGGTATTTCTGAGTAATAATTTCTGCATTATTCTTTCTATTTGAGAGTGCGGTTTCCTAGGTTTTCTGTTGGATTTGGACTAAGAGGCTTTTCCCCCCTCGCTTTGTAAAGTTTAAAATGGCAAGGTATGATGAAAGAGAAAAGGACATTTAAACTATCAGGAGAACCATACATGGTAGCCTTTGCCAAACTGACACCCTCAAGATGCATTAGACTATAATTTCTGGATACTGTGGTCTATGCTGTCTGGAATTGATAAGGACTATGATCCAGTACAGCAGGAGAGGACCAGACTGGAAGAAGACTAAAATATAAATAAGCCTATTGACTGTTCAGGATCACCATTAAATCCAAATTGTGGCTCAGCATCCTAATCGACCCCCTGTAGCTGGAAGTTGAGAGATGTTCCCTCCTGTCTCTGTCATCTCTTAGCAAATGAAGGCCAACTGTGTCACCTCTGCCCTAGTTGGCAGAGAGGATAAAAATGTTGTGGTCAGCATGGCTCAGGTTGTTCTTTGTGTTTCAGAAGTTAAGCTGATCCCTTGGGTCAGACTGTACAAGTTCCACATTTACATTTACTTCTTTTGGGAAGCAAAGCTTTGTACAAATTTAGCATTGTTGATAGTGTACTAAAATTAGTTTTATTTCATAATTATAGAAATTGTATATATGATGTATGAGCCAGTTTGGTGTAATGGTTAAGGCATCAACTGGGAGACTGTGAGTTTTAAACCTGCCTTAGGCATGGAACCAGCCAGCCACCCTCTCTCAGCTCTAGGAAAGAGACAATAGCAACAGCAATAGCACTTAGATTTATATACTGCTTCATAGTGCTTTACAGCCCTCTCTAAGCTGTTTACAGGGTCAGCATATTGCCCTCAACAATCTGAGTCCTCATTTTACTGACCTTGAAATGATGGAAGACTGAATCAACCTTGAGCTGGTCAGGATTGAACTCCTAGTAGTGAGCAAAGTCAACCTGCAATACTTCATTCTAACCACTATGCCACCACAGCTCTTAATAACAAACCATGTCCCCAAAACCTTGCCATGAAAATTGCAGGGATTAGTCTAGGTAGTCACCAGGGGTCAAAAACTGTCACAAAGGCACATACACAAAATAATAATTAAACATTCTGTGTTCCTTCCCCTTTATACTTTGTTTCAGTCAGATTACTGATATAGGACTCACATGCATGGGCCATGTACAGGCCATTCTCTTACAAACATGTCCAGAGTCTCAGAGCCATTCAATCTTCATCTAACATTTAAGTCTTTGTTACCTGGATAGTGTTAATGTAGTGTTCACCTCCTTATCCTGACACAAGTTTCACTGAAGATGTAATCTGACACAATCTGCCAGGTATTCTGTGGCTGTGTGTTCACATAGAATTTGGGGGAATGAGATTAGATTGGCAGGTCTTGGCAATTTTAGACTGGCATGGAAACATTGCTTCTTGTCCAGTCCATAAGGATTCTCTAGCAGGGCCATTTTCTAGAAAAAGAGTCTAGATATTTCAAACTAGGTTCTTCATGTGTTTGCCAACTCTCCAAGTTGATCTGAGTGAATTTGGATCAGTCTGTGATTCAACTCACCTAATGAAGTAGGAAAGAGATACAGTTCTCTTTTGACTGTATCATAAGGCAATTCTCCCATCCTTGTCAGCTGTTGTTTAGGCTGCAATTGAATTTGGGTTCACCACTTGTCTGGAATAGCATTAGATCTCTCCCTCAAAGGACCCTAAAAATGTCAATTGATTATCATCTGATAACTGGGGTGCCTTTGAACAAGCTTGCAAAACATTTGTGTAAACCAAAGTGAGCTTTATCAGATATGGTAGTTAAACCTACCATTCTAACCAATTGCCAAAACTTGTCTCCTCCCTGGTCTCAGCCCCATTCAATCTTAAGGAGGATGGGGGAATAGTTTCCCTTCCTTGTTGGGCAGCAAGGGAAACAAGTGAAGCGTAATCTACCTAGCCTGTCTTTAACATGCCCTATATACCATAAAAATGGACAGCATCCTTTGTCAGCATCATATTCCACAGAAGGATTGTCAGTAGGCACAGCAAGTTTGACAATGGTATAAGTACAATAATAAAATAACAGTGTTGGAAGAGACTTTGGAAGTCTTCTAGTCCAACCCCCTGCTCAAGCAGGAGACCCTATACCATTCCAGACAAATGGCTGCCCAGTCTCTTCTTAAAAGCCTCCAGTGATGAAGCACCCACAATTTCGGAAGGAAAGCTATTGCACTGCTTAATTGTTCTCAATGATTGTAGGTAAGACTCCACTACTAAATTTCAGCTGCAGATCTTTCCTTAAATGCTTGTCTCAGGAGTAAATCAGCAATGCAATTATTGTTCTGTTCATATACATATCTGTACTTTATACTTTCCTGACTCCTTTTTGTCTTTTGAAGAGAGTAGCACATGCTCCTCCACTTGCAGAAGAGAAACAATGGGCAGGAGGGGTACTTAAACTTTCTTTCAGTATCAATTCTAAGTGCTGTGACTAGGTAGTTGCAGGCCAGAAGATAGTGGACCACAGGAAAGTGATGGATAGAAGCAAAGGCTATGATCCCCTCATATTTCTCTGCCTTTAAATCTGACCTTCCTATCTTTTCCAGTGTGCACAGCAGCAACAATGTCCCTGACTGAGAATCTTAAAAAATTTAGGGCTGTTGTGTTTGAAATTCCCCTTCAGCTTCCATTTAACAACACCCCCCACCCCCATCCCCACCCCCAGTCTTCCTAGGCTTCACAGAGAGCTGCTTCATGGATACAGTTCCAAACAAGGCTGAGGAAGATATGAGGAATGGTCTATGGCTACACGCTGTTTGAATCAGAGTAAATGTCTTGGACGGAAATTCCTGCTGAGCTCCATGTCGATGCCAGGAAATATTTGTTTGCTGTCCATAGTCAGATCAGCAGCTAGTTTTCTGGCTACACCATACAGTATTTCCAAAGTGACTCACTGTTCTTAGAAAGGTTGATAAACTATGTTTGAGTTGATTCCATTTCTATTGTATTTATGGATAGCTTTAAATGCCAAGACAGAAACTGTGGTGGTATCTGTAAATTTAGCTTGATTAAGCCATGAAAACTTTGGCAGTTGGGAACTTTTTGGATTGAACATATAAATGTCAGTAGAAACATACAAGTAGGTATTTGAAGAATCAGATCCAATTTCAGAATATTTGTGTGTTTCTATGTGTGTTTGTTTGTGTGTGTGTGTATGTATGCGTGTGTGCGTGTGTGTGTGTATGTATGTGTGTGTGTGTGAGAGAGAGACAGACAGACAGACAGAGATGGAGATTAGAGACAGAGAGAAACATAGAGACCCACAGAGACAGATAATAGAATTGTGTATCTAGTTAACAAGTTTCAGGATTAAGAAAAAAGTTTGATAATATTTTTTTTAATAATACATTTGTTGATCAACTGCTGGGGAGGAGGTGGGGTCTGTGTATAGGACGATCCTTTTGTGGGATCTGCTATACTAGGACAGACTGAATATGGAAGAATGGCACGAACCTGAGAAATTGTTTGAGCGCTTTGTTCTCTGGACGCAGTCTCATTAAATCAGGATTTCATTATGCCAAACTAGACCTACATTGTGCCTTCACTCAAGCAAATTTGCAGCATCTTTCAGACCCTTTATGTGGATGTTGTTTGTCCAGAATTTAGAAAATAGTTGATTTAGAGCCAAATCAATTGCTTGGCTTCCTACCATCTACCTGGGATCCTGATTCCAATCAGTTCCTCTCTTGTTGACAGGGCTCTTTTCTGATGATATCATACCAGAGTATCAAAGTCTACAATAAGGATCTTGATAATATCCTATGACCCAGATTTAGTCCCCAAGTCCTCTTTCAATACAGTAGCTTCCAAAGCCCCCCAAATAAGAAGCAATATAAGCCTCCAATAAGATTAACACCTATTTTATTTTTTACTGTTTTTATTTTGGACTGCCATGCTACTAGAAGTCCCTGGAGGGTGATTTTAAAAAAATATTTGATGCAAAAATGTTGCTTTGTTTTTAGATAGATGGATATATCATCCCCATCACTAAATTGTTTACTTCATGGTACAGAATACACTTTGTGTTTTATTTCCCATTTCAATTTCCCTACTTTTATATATATTTAGTCATTCACTCATTAAATTTCTATAGCTGCCTAACTCAACCAGTAGCTTACAATTCTAAAATGATAAAACAATGTATATCATAAGAACAGTAAAACAATAAAACATTTTTTGTTAATATTTGCTATAGTTTTGCTAGTTGAACTAAATGTCACACAATGCTCTGATCTGGGTATAGGGATTAGATGTGTGCAAACTAAACTGGAAATTGCTCACCGGAATTTTCCAACATGGATCTGGTACACTTTTGGAAAATTGGCAATCAACTCTTCTTATACCATTTAGGTACACATGTATAATTAATACAGTGATTGAGTTAAATTAAGTCAATTATTTTTCAAAATTACAGGTTCAAGAAGAGAGCGTTGTGGGTATCGTATCGTTCGCCGTCATCGCAATCCAGAAGATTTGGTGCATTGTGTAGGCAAAGGGAAAAAGAATAATGACAGTACGATCCAAGTAAAAGAAGCCTTGGGCAATGCGCTAAACCCAGAACAGTTTGTCTCCATATTACTTGAAGCTGAACCACCAAATGTGTTGGTGAGTCGCCCCAACAGGCCATTTACAGAAGCTTCCATGATGATGTCCTTGACGAAACTTGCAGACAAAGAATTGGTCCATATGATTGGTTGGGCGAAAAAGATCCCTGGTAAGGAATTTGAAAACTCTTGTGTTTAGAGTGGAGCTTGTGCTAAATGACATTTAAAAAATAAGTATTGACAAAAATATTTTTTTTTTAAACAAACCTTAGGGCCTACAACAAGAAAAGCATATCATACATTGCATTGTTCTTTGGTAATACAACTTTGGTAAGGCCATTGTTGTGGAACAAAAGTAGAATCACAGAACATAAGATTTCACAGGATTAAGGAAACCATCTATAGTAGTCTAATCCACTTGGGACACAGCAACAGTCATAAATATGAATCAGTTGCCAAGCATTCCTAATCTGAATTTTGATCTCATAACTATGGGGATGCTGCAAAGGTCGTAAGTGTGAAAAGCAATCATAAGTCACATTTTTCAGTGCCATCGTAACTTTGAACGGTCACTAAATGAACTGTTGTAAGTTGAGGACTACCTATATCCAGTTCCTGCAACCATTGATCGTATGTTTTAGACTCCAGACTCCAGTCCCCTAATCATCTTTGTTGCTCTATTCTGAATTCTTTCTAGAGTCTCAATATCTTTTTTGTATCATGGTGATTAGAACTGGATGCAGTCAGTGGTGGGATTCAAATATGTGAACAACCATTTCTCTGTGTGGATGCCGCTTCTGGAAGTCCATTCTGGGCCTGGGCAACAAAAAATTAGCTGCCGGTTCTGCCAAACTGGTGCGAACTGGCTGAATCCTACCACTGGATGCAGTATTCCAAGTAGGGTCTTATCAAGGCAGTATATGGTTTTATAAGGCTGTCAGCCGCCCTGAGTCCGGTAAGGAGAAGGGCGGGATACAAATCAAATCAAATCAAATCAAATCAAATCAAATCAAATCAAATCAAATCAAATCAAATCAAATAAATAAATAAATAAATAAATAAATAAATAAATAAATAAATAAATAAATAAATAAATAAATAAATAAATAAATAAATATAGCAGCACTAATACTTCAGGTGATTTTGATACTTTCCCTCTGTTGATGCAACCTATGTCTGTATTGGCTTTTTGGGCAGCTGCAGCATATGTAAGTTGTGGTCCACCAGGACTCCTAGATCCCTCTCACAGTTACTGCTGTGGAGCCAGATACCAACTATTCTACACCTGTGCATTTGGTTCTTCTTGCCTAAGTGTAAACTCTTACTTTTCTCACCACTGAATTGGATTTTGTTGGATAGGCCCAGTGATATATTTGGTCCTTTTTGTTCCAAATAGGCAACTTGGGGTCCCTGAGGTTTTTTAAAAAAAAAATAACATTACACTTAGAACCCAATTTCCTGTTTTGAAAAGATTTTTACCCATTTGTATTAAAAACTTGGATTTCTCTATTGCTTTCTTTAGACAGCAGTGGCTTCCCAGTGTGAGGAAATAATCTAATAATCTAATCTAATAATAATCTAATCTAGATAACAAATGGCTTTTTCTGTCATTTGTATCTATGTGATTCTTCCTGCTTGTCTTTTAACTACATACTTCACCCAACGTTTAAGGTTTTCTTCTCCTCTATAAAGAATATTATTTTCAATTGATCCGCTATGACTGGTGCTGTTTCTAGTTTGCTTAAAAACCCTGGTTAGCTAATTTGATGGGGTTTTTTTTTTACATTTTTAAAGTAGAAGTAATCCTAGCTCTATGAGAAAAATAGCTATAGCTAAATAATACCTTAAAAATAAGGTATTTTGATTTCTTTTTGTTGTAACAACATTAGAAGTATGGTAAGGGATAGAAAAGAAACAAAAAAGCCCCCAAATTAGACACTTTTAAATCATGAGAACTTTGGGGATGAATAAATAGAAACTCCATGTTAGTTATTGCTGGCATCATATATGGATACATAAATCCGAAGCCCTTATTTACCAGCAATTGGGTTAACTTTAGTGGAAGTCATATTCTTTTTCTTTAAGACTTATCCTCATTCTATTTGCAGATCCTGGGCATATCTTGAATCTGCAGATGGCTCCCATTTAAATATGTATGTTGTGAGCAAGGTTTAATTCGACATTCAAGTAATGAAGTCAGAATAGCTAGAACTGTTGTAGCCCAGACTGAATGATAAAAACTCTACCAAAGAACAGTGGCATTATAAAATCAAAAGTTAAGAAGGGCCTTTAGGCCATCAAGTCCAACCTTCTGCTCAGAAAATAGGTTTCTATTAAAGCATCATGACAGGTGGCTACACAGTTTCTGCATCTACAGGTAGTCCTCCACTTATAACAATTTGTTTGGTGACCGTTCAAAGTTACAACGACACTGAAAAATGTGATTTATGACCATTTTTCCAAGTTACAACCTTTGCAGCATCCCCATGATCATGTGAACCAAATACAGATGCTTGGCAACTGGTTCATATTTATGACCGTTGCTGTATCCCAAGGTCATGTGATCACCTTTTGTGACCTTCTGACAAGCAAAGTCAATGGGGAGGCCAGATTCAATTAACAACCCCGGGCACTAATTTATCAACTGCAGTGATTCACTTAACAACTGAGACAAGAAAGGTCGTAAAATGGGGCAAAGCTCACTTAACAAATGTATCACTTAGCAACAGAACTTTTGGGCTCAATTGTGGTAATAAATCGAGGACTACCTGTATTTTATTCTACAGATATTTGACAGTATTTACAGTATAATCTACTCCAGTCCTAGTACAGAATGGGCAGGAGTCAACAAAAGAACAACTACATGATTCAAAGAACAGAAATATGAAGACAATTAAAACAACTGTTTTTTATTGTCAAAAGACTCTCCTAACATTCAACCATAATCAGTTCAGCATGGCGCCACAGCCACACAACTTTACAGCTAGGATATAAAGACAATAATGCTTCAGACATTACTACAATAATGCCTAATATTGGTGACATTTACATACATAGATTTTGATTTCAACATTTCAATTTGAGCACAGTTAACAAAATTTATCTAAATTTTTTCCTAAATGTTTTTTAAATAAAAAATATTTTGCAACTGAAAAACAAAGTATATGTTTTGTTTTGTTTTTTAAAAATGAAGGATTTACTTTGCACAAAAACAATACAGTAGCCAGTTGCCTTCCGCCTTTTCACTAAAAGTCTTAAATGAAATTTGGAGGTATTGATGTCCTGAATGGGGGTCCCGATGATAGTAATTTTACTTTGATCATTGGAAAATTCTAGACATTCGCATTTCAGCTGGGAAATGAATCCACTTTCACTTTTGATTACTTTCCCTGCTTATTTTGTTACTCACAGTGATGGAGGTAGAATGTGTGTAATTCTGCTGCCTCTCCAATTCAATCCATTTTTGTAGTAAATGCACTTGTTATTTTTTTTCCTCCCACTTTAAAAAAAACCCTCTGACTTGAATCCAAATATATTCATATTTAGAACAGCACTTTGAAATAAATCTGGCTTAATGTAACTGAAGTTCTACTGATTTTGATAGGTCTACCCAGTGCTTTTTTTGTTAAAAAAAAAAGGTGCCGGAACTCACATATGTCATACAACCCGCCTTGCCCACCCTACAAGGTTCCATTCAAAAAAAGTGCCAGAACTCCATTCTGGGCGTTCTATGATAAAAAAAAGCCCTGGGTCTACCACAGATATGACTACGCCTCCAAACCTCTTTTTTTTTTTTTTTACAAACATTTGTCTTTATCAGTATTGTTTCATTTGTTTCAGAGTGGCCTGTTTTCCTTATTAATCTGACTCTCAGGAGAAACACTATCTAAATTCAATCTGTATAATCAAATTGGCGTTCTGTATGTATATTGTAGGATACATCTGTGGTGTGAGAAAGTTAGAAGGCAGAATAGACGTGTGATCATATTAAAAAACTGATACTGCACATATTAACATAAACCTTTTTAGTCTGGATGAATGTTCACACAATACTCTTCTTACAAACTAGAGATGAATAACCTTTTTAGACTACACAATGAATGTCCTCTTTGAATACAGTGTCAAGGTAAAGTGTTAGTTTTAAATAAAATAAAATTTAATAAATTCAATGCAAGAATATAATTGTTGATATCCACACGTTTAGTAGTTTTAATATTTTATCTCAATAACATTTATAATTTAGTGGCAAGTTTTTAGATTTTGGAAGACTTTGAATTAACTTACAACATGATAAAAATCTGCAAGAAACAGCACAAATTAGGTAAAGAATAAGAAACCTAAAAAGACTAAAAAGGAAAAAAAATCTAATTGTACAAATACTGTTTATATTTATCTATTTATTAAAATTTTACACTATCTGGCTCTGGGCAGCTTATAGATATTTTTTAATTTAGGTTCATGCAAGTAGTAGATTTCAAATATTTTTCTAAGAATATATTTCTAAATACATGTTTTATAAAAATGTATTTAATATCCCTTTCATTACTTAATTTTTTTATTAATTGGGAACCGCACTGTAACATTTGAGAAAGTAAAACATCAGAAGGATAATTGTGGTCTCATTAGTCAAAAGCTGTAGATAAGATTAAATCTAATCTAATCTAATCTAATCTAATCTAATCTAATCTAATCTAATCTAATCTAATCTAATCTAGGCAGAACAAAAGCCACTCCAGAAATGGAACAACATATAAACTGAAGCAAGCTAGCAAATAAGCAGTAAATAAAGCAATAAAGTAATAAATAACTGAAGGAAGTGATAAATAAATAAACACTGTAGTGTTCTTACTGCTTAAATCTTCTTTCTACCATCTCATTCAATAAGAATCATTCCCTACCAGGACAGATTTTTTTTTAAAGGGAGCAATGAGGTTCATTCCACATCCTTATGTATAAATTCTTAAACCTTCTTTTTCCCCCTTCCTTTTCTCTTAAAAAAACAAAGCAAAACACTTTTTCATCTCTACCAAGATGACTTCTTAAGTGAGTGGTTGATTCTCCCATAAGGCTTTCCTTTTAATGCCAGCTAGAATAGGAGACTGCTGCTGATTCATTTCTAACTAATGTGTGTGGCTCCTGGTCTTCGACTATAACACAGATCAGGGGTGCAGGAGATCATTTGTGGTGTTCCCCATCCATGAATTTCCTAAATACGTCTCTTCTTGCCAGAGTTGTTAAGTGAATCGCTGCATTTGTTAAGTTAGCAACACAATTGTTAAGTGAATCTGGTTTCCCCATTGACTTTGTGTGTCAGAAGGTTGCAAAAGGGGATCACATGACTCTGGGACATTGCAACTTTCATAAATATGAACAAGTTGCCAAGCATTTAAATTTTGATCACATGACCATGGGGATGCTGCAACAGTCATAAGTGTGAAAAATGCTCATAACTCACTTTTTTCAGCGCCGTTGTAACTTTCAACGGTCACTAAGTGAACTGTTTTAAATCTAGGACTACCTGTATTACTGCAGAAGTTCTAGTTAAGGTATAACAGATGAAGGTTTGACAATGCATGGTAAAGGCTTATAGAGTGCTTTGGACAACGAGATGGTGACATATAAATTAATAAAGAAACAAATAAATAAATAGCTAACAGCTCTGCTGTTCTGCTGAGATTTGGGGAAGATCTTTTCCTAATCTGCAGTATTGTGGTTTATTTTTGTATGTATCTCCTTCTATTATTTCTGTCTTTCTTTATGAGCTAAAAATGTGGTGAAGTGCAGCATTGTACAAAAAGGAGACTTCGTTGCTGTTATTGTTTGCAGACTGAAAATACAAAAATAGTCTATCATTAAATTTATTACATGCATTCACTCTTCATGTTCCTAAGAAAGAACTTTTAGATAAGCAATTGGTTTCTTTATCCATCATCTTTTACCTATTTCATTTAGTAATAACTTCAGGGAGCTAAATACATATTAGTCTGGACGTGAAATGGGAGCATTAGAAGAGCATACAAAATTGCAAATTAAATGCAGAAGAAAGTGTTGAAGATTCCCTCAAAGGATAATTAATCTGATTCATGTGGATTCTAAAATACATGAAATATCAGTTGAGCTGCAGAGAAAAAATGGGAAATGAAGGCAAAATAGGGAAATACCTATTCAGGTCATAGATGTAGGATCAAATATAGTTTTGTGGTTCACTTCTTACATTGTCCCCATAAATACTTTAGCATTTTAAAGTATATAGAAGATTGACTTAATAAAAAAACAATATACTTTAAATATGTTCCATCAATTAAACAATGTTACCCTTTGGGACTCAGGATCCTTATTGCCTGGAACTATACCCCCCCCCCCCCGGAGATCCATTATGTCATTTAGGAAATTGTTAAAGACCTGGTGGTCCTTTCAGCCCTTGGGGGTAAAGGTGATTGCAGTTATGGTTTGTTTATCCTTACAGTTTTGTTCTTCAGGTAATTGTTTTTACAAAATCTTAACATGTCTGGTAGAATCCTTTACAATGGGTATCCAGTATGTATTTATTTATTAATAAATCATATTGATAAAGCCAAAATCCATATGTCTGCCACCCAGTATAGATAATAGATGAAGGAAGGAAGGCTCCATCACTTGGAATCAACAGTTGACAAACTTCTAAGAATTGAGGTCATAGATTTTCTAATTTCAAGTGAATCAAGAAGATAACTTTGAATTTTTAATAATTTATATTGTTCTAGGGACAGAGAAGGAGTGTATATTTGGTATTCATGATGTAAGTATGCCTTCTCCTTTCCTTTCCTCCTTCTTTTAAAGGCTTCATAGAGCTGAGTCTATATGATCAAGTAAGGCTTTTGGAAAGCTGTTGGTTGGAAGTATTAATGGTGGGTCTAATGTGGAGATCCATTGATCACCCAGGGAAGCTCATATTTGCACCAGATCTTGTGCTTGACAGGTGAGAATTAAGTATTGTTGGACTTGCACGTATGTTTGGAAGTTAAGATTTGAATGAAAATGCATTAACAAGCAAACCCAATCTTTTGCTCTATTCAGGATGGCCCAAATATTTTCTCCTGCATGAACTATCATGGTTAACATTCAGTTCACCCCTGCCCATCCTCTCCTGCAGATTTACTGGCAAGGCTATTAAAAGAAGCTTTACCAATTCCTTAACAAGTTTTCAGTTGGACAGGCTCTAGAAAGTATTTTGTAGCAGTCTAGTGCTAGGCTGGGCAATCTTTTTATAGCCACAAATCATTTTTTAACTTCTGCTTTTTCAGATTGCAAGAAACTGTATGGGAGGCATAGTGGTGATTTCACTAGTCAAAACAAGGCTGGAATTTTTGGTCATTCTGGAAATATGTGTGGGATGTTAGGCTGAATGAAATATAGTTATTTTAGAAGGAAGTTTTAAGCATCAGAGCAGCAAGACAGAAAAAGAAACTGTTGGAAGCAAGAAAGTTAAAAGAATATGATCGTGAATTAGATTGTAATGAAGGTATGATTTCACCTTTTATAAAATAAACAAAGATAAGAATTTTGTGTTGAACACTTACATTTAATGCTTAAAATATGTACGGTGTACATAAAATATGAATCACTGAATAGAGACCAAATATGATTGTATGTTGGAATAAAATGCAGTATTTTGGTGGAAAGCATGCTTTGTATGTCAAGTAATCCTCTGACTATTTTCAAATTAGGGATGAGGGAAAATGTGTAGAAGGAATTTTGGAAATATTTGACATGCTCTTGGCAACAACTTCAAGGCTTCGAGAGCTGAAATTGCAGCACAAAGAATATCTCTGTGTCAAGGCGATGATTCTTCTCAATTCCAGTGAGTAGAAGTTTCAGTCATGTCAAGCTGTGCTTATTATTGCGACAAAAAGTTGGCTTGTGGTAGGAAAAATTCAAAGGACACAAGAGCTGTTAACGTGAATGAAATGCTTTTCTGTTCCTTATATTATAATGGTTTTATACCTAAGATCAAGATCACTATATTGTGTCATTCTGCATGATTGTGAGTGTGCGTCCAGTTGTTTTCCTAGTTGTTTCTATGGAATTAAGTTTGTATATTCTAGATCAGTGTTTCTCCACAATCTCTGGGAGCTATTCCTTTGATTGACGTCCAGATACAAGATCTGATTATCAAATTGAGCAAGTAACTTCTTACATTAAAAAATTAGGGTGTTAAAACATATTTTTCTCTTTCAAATTGGTGTCTCCTGTTATAATACATACACATACATGTGTATGCATGTACATATAAGCTGTCTCTCTTCCATTATCAAAAGCAATAGAGGACTCTTGTCACTATCGGTTGTATTGGAGAGATGGGGCCTCTTTTATAGCCCAACAAGCCTATGAATCAGTGAGGATACAGTTGTGCTTGAGAAACTAATCATCAGAATTAAACTCAAGTGCCTATCTGGTAGAAATGTTTCTAAAAGCTTTGAAAACATATTTGTATTCAAATTTTCAATTTTTATTTTAGGAAACTTTTAGATAGCTCTCGTTGAAAGTAGGTGAATTTAAAAACCTTTTAAATGGTGTCTGAATATATGAATATGATCTTTCTTTTGGTTTACTCTTATAATTAATTATGGCATTATCTTGAATGAGGCATTCATGTGAGCCACTGTTTTTCTATTTAAAATGTACATTGGGTATTAATATTTTCAGAGTCATTTTCTTAACAACTGCTTAGTTAATTTAGCTGATTAGCTCAGCTAATTTGACTGAAAATAATCACCCTTAGTGTTTATTGTTTTGCTCTAAAGCATTTTGTCTTGGACACTTCAGTGTGTATGGAGGAACAATGTAATGGACAAAGAAAAAGTTGAATAAGCAACTATACTGAGAAGGAGATAGAGTGACAAAATGAATATATGCTGCAATGTAAGCAGAGTTGCAAATTCTTAAAGCCCTTCCATGTTGTATGCTGCCATTTATACACTGCACATAAATGCTGCTGTGCTGATTTCATGATTGCTTGCCTTCCTGGCTTGGTCTCATGATTGTTTGCTTCTGTATTGTCTCTCCAATTGCACACAATATTTTGCAAGATGAACTGGATTTTCCAAGGATTCCCAAAAAGGGAAATAGCTGAGCATTGGTGTAAAACAGCCAATCAATGCTCATTTCTTCTACTTAATCACTGTGTTTATTTTCCTACCCACCTGCCACTGCTCTGTGTTTTCAACAACAGTTCTTCTATCTTTCGTCACAAAGAGTAGAAGCATAACCTTTTCTAACATTCTTTCTCCCTGTATACACACAACCCATATGATCCTTGAGGGAGATGGCAGTATAGAAACATGAACTATAAATGAATAAACAATGTGTATTGGAGGGGCAGTTTGTAAAATATATCTTCTGATGGGACAGCTGCAAGAGTAGTTAAATCTTTTTTTGAAACTGTTAACAAATGCAAAGAAGCCAAGAAAAAAAACCCCTTGATGGCATATCAGCAAGCTATCAAAACTCTGTTCCAAGAGGCCCCTGAACTGGTCTGAACTAAAATTGGAAAGCTGTAAAGTAAGAAATAAGGCAGAATTACCAGTTATGCTGATTACCACAGTAGGAATTGTATGACTTAAAGTCACAGCCTGGTATCCTGGAGAGGGTGCCAGGCTGTAAAATATGGTTGGTTGTTTGGTTGTTGGCTGATTGATTGATTAGCTACAAAACAACTTTCTTTTTAATCTGGTGTTTTTTTCTCCCAAGATTTTACACACATAGAATAAATGTATGTATGTAATAAATACTAATAAATACATAAAATATTTATGTTTGCTGTGTTTTTTATCAGTATGATCATTTGGTCTTATGACATCTAGATTTTTTTTTATCAATGAGAGTTGTACAACTTACATTGTGACTCATAAATCAAATATTTTATTAAAAATGGTCTACTGTTCTGCTATCAGTACAATATAAATATGACTTAAATTTATGCAGTTGTAGAATTATATTAATATGTATTAAATTAATTAATTAATTAAAGTAACTAAATCTTAATGTTCATGCATTTTTTGTTCATGCATTAATTAATTAATGCATGAACATTAAGATTTAATTACTTTAATTAATTAATTAATTAATTAATTAAAGTAATTAAATCTTAATGTTCATGCATTCTGAAATGTACACCTTAGTCTATGATTTGTAAGCAAATACAGCACATTAAGAATAGCAACTTTTCTACTTGACAGATATTTTATGATATTCTTTTTGCTGGATTTTTTTTTTAAAAGAAGGAATAGATAATGTCTTCTCTCAGATCTTGTTACCAAGAATAAACAAGCATGTGTTGATAAATAACCAAAGGATCTCCTTCCTAACCCCGTCCCACTCTCCCCCAAATCTATACAACTGCAAATGAGGAATTTTGTGAGCCACATGTGGCCACCGACCCAGCTTTTTGAAAAATTCAGTCTCCCAGTCTGCCAACATTCAGCAACAATTTGGTGGACTTTGGAAGTGTGATATCCTGCTAATTCTTAGCATGAAATAAACAGCTAGACTTTTGGCTAGACTGAGCATAGTGTCATTTACAGTGCCTGCAGATGCCATTGTATGCACAACACACTCTCATAATAGCATCCACAGAATTCTAAAAATATATTAAATCTAATAGAAAAATGTTAAATTACTGAAAGCTCATGAGTTTCTGAAATCTCCTGAAATGTTTTTTTTTTTAATTTTGTGGGTTAGAGAAAGGGAAAAGGAGGTGCCCCACCAGGGTAGAGATTATAATTCAGAAGACCCTGGAGATAGGGATTAGCTGGGAGAAATGCTCTTGTACTATCCTCCTTGCTGCACAGCTGCATCCCCACCTGGACTGTAGGACCTTACATGGCGGTGCAGATGTCATCCAGCCTTCTGGGTGCAGAGGAAGGTAAATTAATGTTTCTGTGGATTGAATTCCTGGTTAGTTTAAATGGCCAAGGTGGTAATAGGAGACTGTGTCAAGAGGTAGTGAATAAATTCTTGGAATATTACCTATTAAGTTCCTAGATAAATATGACCACTAAAAATGCAGTGGAAAATTGAGATATTTTTGCATAAATAGCTGAGTGATTGGATAGATAGATAGATAGATAGATAGATAGATAGATAGATAGATAGATAGATAGATAGATAGATAGATAGATAGATAGATAGATAGATAGGCAGGCAGGCAGGCAGGCAGGCAGGCAGGCAGGCAGGCAGGCAGGCAGGCAGGCAGGCAGGCAGGCAGGCAGAGATAGATGATAGATTATATATATATATATGTGTATGTGTGTGTATGTAGATAGATAGATAGATAGATAGATAGATAGATAGATAGATAGATAGATAGATAGATAGATAGATAGATAGATAGATAGATAGATAGATAGATAGATAGATGGAAGGGCGGGCGGACAGACAGACAGACAGACAGAGATGATAGATCATATATATATATGAGAGAGAGAGAGAGAGAGAGAGAGAGAGAGAGAGAGAGAGAGAGAGAGAGAGAGAGAGAGAGAGAGAGAGAGATGAATTATAGAGATAATACATTTCCCCCAACTGAACTGTAAATCTCTTTATAGATATTTGGGCATCAGCATTAAACCAATTTGAATGGAGCAATTCCACTGGTAACATAAATAGCTTCTGTATTTGCTGTATCTGTATGTAGGTGAATTAAAGACAGAAGAATACAAACTTGTGTTGAAAATGCATAGCAGTGTGCCAACTCCTGTTTTGAATAGCTTTAGATAACTTCTCCACCTTTGCACCACAGTTAAGTGCCAGTGTAGGTCTAACTGACCTCACAGCTACTAAACAAGCTAAACTTTTAACGCTTCATTTTACTTGCCTGGAAAACTGCCAATCTGCTGCCATCCTATTCTAAGCTCCGTAAAGCTGACTCCAAAAGTGATACCTATAAATTGCAGTGACTGACGTCATTCTGTTGCCCCTTTCTTTCTTCTCATTGGTTCTCACTTTTCACCCTGAAAGGGCAACCATCTCAGCTATCAGCACATCAAAAGGCAGCCTTTCCAACTCATGCATGTTTATATAACTAGGGTTGCCAGCTAACCAGAAAGAAATTGATCTGGCTGGAATTAGTAGAGAGATTTGGAAGAATCTGTAAATTTTATCTCTGATTTAATAGATCCCTATTTAATGGACTTCACATGCAGTGGATCAGATTTCTGTCCAGTCATTTCCTCCACCCTCCATGATGGATATTTGTTGCATCTATCTATGTTAGACATTTAAATTAATTTGTGGCAATTAATGTCTTTGTGTAATGAAACATTTTTATAAAACAATGCAAATCACATTATGTGGAGTTATGATGCAAATAATGTATTTTGTGTTATGATGCAAATTGTGTATTTTATATTTAATAGACAATTGGGAATATCAGAACTCCTCCCTTCAATTAGTCTCTTAACTTGAAATTTTCCTGAACTAAGTAATGACTTATTTCACAGGCATAGCTCATAGTGCAGAGATGAAAAGGTTAGGAGCTACTAGATGTCAGCTACTTCTTTGGTCCCAGTTGTTCAGTATTATAGCCCAAGAGGGTATCTGAAGGAAACTATGGGAGGGAACTGTTCCTACTTATTAGAAAACTTTGTTCAGGTACATTTAGTACTTGATAAGATCCAGTGTGCATGTTTGCAATTTTCATATACTTTGTAACTGCAGTAAGATAGAAACATGGGTTAAACGCAAGCACTTCCTCCCCCTCCCCGCTAGTCTTCCCCCCTTTCTCTCCCACCACCATTTTCCTCTGGATTTTTGAGAAAACTTCTCAGAAATGAGGAAGTTCATTGTCACAGTTGCTGCTTCATAATGGACATAGGATTATTATTTTTTTCATTCAAGGCTAATATGGTGTCTGTTCTCAGCACTGTTTAATGGTTTTCTCTACTTTTTAAACTATATGTTCCCACCAATTTTTCATTACTTGTACATAATAATTTTACAGATGTCCTAGTAAATCATTTTGGTGACTGTTATGCCATTGTTTATAATCAGTTTCTGTGATCTTCTTGCATGAGCTGAAAATATGAACTACCGTTTCTTCTGCTTCTTTGCACAACCTGCACTTGGAATCATTTGATGATTTTTCAATTCTGGCTTTGATTGCATGAGCTTAAATAGCTTGCTCTTGCACAGCTAAAATCAACCCTTCAGTTTCTTTTTTTAAATGTTAGTTACAAGCCATTGCCTGGCTTTATTGTTATCCATTTTCCCCTAAATCTTTTGTAGAAACATACCTTGTAATACTTGTCCTTGCCAGTATTCTATTTTGTTATTACATTATTTTGATATTCAGTTTTTGTTTCCTGAACATTTAGTAAGTTCGAATTTTAAACTTGTATTGATGCTTGTTCTTGGCTGTCTTTTACATAATAGGCCAATTCATGCTTTTCTTCTTTAACAGTTAGTTTGACCTGAGGAATACCTCTGCCCCCATTTTTGAGGAGCAGGTCTAATCTAACAATATCACTATAGGAATATAATGCATAGTGAATAATCATCAATTTTCTTGTTTTTCAGTCCAAACTGTCTAGTTTGGCTTGTGTCCAGTTAATAATTCCAGCATTGTATTGTATCTCAGGTCTGTCCAAGTATTGACAGCTCTAATAGTGTTTCCTCCATTCAGTTTTGTCTAGCAATTTTTTTTTACTCTTTACATGTATTTTTTTTTACTAATCTCATTTTTAACTTCTCCACTCTTTATGTTATCCAGCTGTAGAATGCCAAGATACTTTTAGGCTTCATCCTGATGGTTCTAGACCAAATTCTATTGCTATATCTTTGCTAAAAAGTCAATGTTTTCAATTACATTTGTCAATGCTGCTAACATCGGATGTTCTTGCTTTGACAACAGATGGAAATGTAGCCATCTTTTCTCTTTCGCTTTTAGAGTTAGATGGTGCTGGGAGGGGGGAGTCCAGCTAGTCATAACAACAATAACTCAGCTGTGGGAATCAAGGTTATTGCGCCCAGAGCTTATAAAGATTTGGCGGGCTGGAGAGCTGGGGAGAAAGCCCGCACTTCAAGCTAATTGGGGAATGTGATTTATGACTGTTAATTGGAGGAGGGAATTGTGCTTTGCTACTTTGTGTGGGGGGGGGATTCAGTTTTTGGCTTTAACGGTGTAGTGCTGATACTTTGTTTCTCAAATAAAAGATTCTTTAAGGTAAACAATGCCTCGAAGTTCTTTTAAAGAGTTTCATCTGTTGGAACCATGACAACATTATTATTATTATGATCTGTCGAACAGTTGGCCAAATGTTCAGACTGGTTTTTGTCCGCCTATTGAGTCCTTCCCAAGGACCTGGGATATGTGGAAGTTTGACGATGTTAGATTGTAGGATGAAAGCTGTTCTGAGTAAAGCTGCCTTTTGCAATTTACTGATGGTGAATTTATCAATGCCAATGGTGTTCAAGTGGTGTTCCAGTTGTTTTGGGATTGCACCCAAGGGGCCTATTGCTATTAGTACTATACTACTACCTTTGCTTTCTTTACCACAGTCATTCTATTTCTATTTGCAGGTTTTTTATTTTATTATCTTCTTTCTCTTCTATTTTGCTGTCTTCAGGTACTGCCACATCCACTATACAGACTTTTTTTGTCTTTCTTATCTACAATTGTTAAGTCTGGGGTGTGACAGGTGCCTGTCTGTTTGAAATCTAAAGTCCCAGAGCACTGTAGCCTTTTCATTTTCTATTACTTTATTTTATGGTCCCACCAGTTCTTCCCTGCAGGCTAATGATATTTCTATCAGATATTCTGATGGACCATTTTTGTTACTTTGTTATGGTGTTGTTTGTGGTCAGTCTGTGCAATCTTCTTGCAGCAGCTAATCAGGTGAATCTATTGTTTCTTCAGCTTCTTTGTAGAGGCAGCACTTGCTCTCTGTTGCTTTCTTCTCAATTCTGGCTTTGTATGCATTTGTTCTTGTGGCTTGGTCTTGTGCAGCCAGAATTAGCTATCTCTTTCTTCAGCTTTTCTGATATTATTATTATTATTATTATTATTATTATTATTATTATTATTATTATTATTATTAGTAGTAGTAGTAGTAGTAGTAGTAGTAAGGCTCTAGCTTAGTTACAGAGTAGTTGCTCTATATGTAAAGATGTCTAGGTTTGGTTCCCAGAATCTTCAGGCTGAGTTGAAAACATTTATATTTCTCACTCATTGTGAACAATATAGACCCAAGAGGAATAATGTTTAATTCAGATTTAATCATAGGAAGGGAAGGGGGATTCCTAATAACTAGTTAACATTGATTTTTGCTACTCTTGTGTAGGCATGTATCCACTATCATCTTCTACAGAAGAACCTGAGAGTAACAAAAAACTGGGCCATCTGCTAAACTCAGTGACAGATGCCTTGGTGTGGGTCATTGGAAAGAGTGGGGTCCCTTTACCCCAACAAACAACTCGCTTGGCAAATTTGTTGATGCTACTTTCTCATGTTCGGCATGCCAGGTAAGACCATTCTAGATGATGTTGGAGATGTCTTCTTGCAACATTAACTTTTTTTCCTATGAGTGTGAAGGAGGAGAGATCATTTCCTTGCGTTACTTTTTATTTCTGCTTTTGTTTCTCCTTATGAATTATTTCATATCTTTTTTACATATGTTGGCTATTGATGTAACTGTAAATATAGAATTTATGGATAATATAAATAGCAATTTCTCTGCATAATACATCATCTGTAACACTTATATATCCATTGTATATTGGATACTATACTATTATATTCTGAATTGTCTTATAAACAAAGTGTTCTGCTTAGAAAAAGCAGCATTTTTCTGGACTGTTGCTGAAGACCAATAAGTAACTAAAGCTATTGCATGTTAGCTTTCCAAAGAAAAAATGTATGCCGCTTCTCAAAGGCCTCTTAGTTTTTTTTGAAACTTTAAAAAAGTTTAAATGATAAAAACGTGCCTCAGTTTCCATTTAATCCAACACATTATCTGTGGAATTTTATTTTTTAATGACAGAATATTCAGGCATGCAAATAGTGTCATTTGACACAGATGATTTGTAATTCTGTACATTTTAAGGATATATTGAATTGAAATGTTAAGTTAAACTAAAACATAATTTTGAGCGTTTATGGGTATATATAAATAAAAAAGAAGACATTTATTTTTAAGAAGTCAGTCAAAATTAAACTAATATAAATGTCCATTAATATTATGGATTATATATATTTTGCAATTTCAAGAGTGCTGGGCTGAGCAGTGTTTTTACTTAATTATTTTTAAACTATTAAAAATTATGGTACCAAATAATACAAAATTCATGGAAGGCAATGCCTTCTATGATGTGATAATAGTTATCTTTTCCCGAAGAAACCTTCATTCAGAAATTTTGCTTAAAAAACACAAGGCCAAGTTCAAGTTGCTGAAATATACTCGGCTGCCAAAGCTGATAATTAAATGTTTTAGGAGTACTTGAAAGAAAAGTGCATCCTACTGTACAAAAATACCATATTGTTCAATTATTAAAATGTTTAGACCTTTACACAGTCCCATGCCCAGAAATACTTTATTGCAACATTTAATGGCAAGTTTATACTATTGAAGTGTTTGTTACGTCTAAATTGTATACATCACTGACTGTAACAGCAGTGGATACACAGTGGGACTTCAATAAAAATTAGTCTCGAACAATTTTGCACACATTGTACAGAGCAGAATGTTCAAGGATTCCAATGATTTGGGAGAGACCATCCGTTGGAATTAGGTGGCTAATACATTTAAGTAAATAAGCAACCTTGGTGAATCAAATCCCAGTCTTTTGTCAGCTTGCCATTTCTAGGGCATTCTTTAAAAGAACAACCTTCTGTGCAAAGGCCTTTCAGAAGCTAATGCTCTCCTTGAAACACCAAGTATTTGAACAGCTATCCAGACTCCACCTAGGTCAGTGATGGCGAACCTTTTAGAGACCGAGTGCCCAAAAACTGGCCCCGTCCCTGCTCCACCCCCCCTGCTCCCGTCCCCTGCCCCCCGCCCCCTGCCCTGCCCCCCCGCCTGCCTGCAGGGCCACTCACTGCCTCCAGGGCCCGCCGCAGATCGCCCAGGCAACCCAGCAGCACTATGGCGGCCACACCCTCTGCCCGCGCCCTGCAGCATCAACTGTGCATGATGGGATGTGACGGCAGAGTCTTGTCTACGTTGCCTGGCTGCCATGTCCTTGGCTGTGCTGCTCTGGGTGGGCCACGCTCAGGGGCGACTCTCCTTCAGGGAGGCTGCTGGAGAGGAGGGTGTCACGGGGGGAGGCGAGGCTGGGGCAATGGCACGTGTGCCCACAGAGAGGGCTCCGATTGCCGCCTCTGGCACCCGTGCCATAGGTTCACCACCACTGACCTAGGTTAAAGAAAAGACAAACCATAAGGAAGAGAGAATTAGCCCAGTTTGGTTGGCTAGAGTTGGCTTGGACTGTAACCCATAGAGGTATCAGTTTAATGAACATCTAAATCTAAAAAAAAAAAAAGGCATGCAGGTTCTATTGCTGTCCTTGGATGCACATAACTCGCTCCGGCAAAGAGGACGGGCTCTGTTATTCAGAGATTCTATACAGGTAGTCCTCGACTTACAACCGTTCATTTAGTGACTGTTCAAAGTTATAACAGCACTGAAAAAAAGTGAGTTATGACCGTTTCTCATAGTTACAACTTTTGCGGCATCCCTATGATCATGTGATCAAAACTCAGTTGCTGGGCAACTGGTTCATATTTATGAGCGATGCTGTGTCCCAAGGTCATGTGATCCCTTTTTGTGACCTTCTGGCAAGCAAAGTCAATGGACAAGCCAGATTCACTTAACAACCGGGTTACTAATTTATCAACTGCAGTGATTCACTTAACAACTGAGACAAGAAAGGTCGTAAAGTGGGGCAAAATTCACTTAACAAATGTCTTACTTAACAACAGACATTTTTGGGCTCAATTGTGGTCGTACATCGAGGACTACCTGTACTTCTGGTTGTCAGGCTTGAAAAGAAAGAAAGAAAAAGAAAGAAAAATCAACAATGATAACAGGTAGTTGCTAGAAGTGTGTCTTTGGTGATATAATTCCCTAAGCAAAGCACTGCTACCCAGAAAGCTCTCCCCATCTCAATGGAAGAAATGCAGGGAAGCAGAGACAGCTCTACCATCAAAAGAATAAAGTTGCTTATTCAGGGAGTGCTTCTCAACCTTGGTGGTTTTAAGATGTGGGGACTTTAATTTCCAGAATTACCCAGCCAGCTATAGAGGCAAATCTTATTTGTGTTGCTTATCAGAACTAAAACAACTCGATTCACCCTCAGTCTTTCAAAATAGCTGAAAAACAATGCCATTAATAATCCTCATTTTATTTCTTGCTGAAAGAGCAGATTAATTGTGATTAGATTACCTGGTTCTTTTTTTTTTTTTTCAAACTCTTCTACATAGCTCTTCCATGTGCGTTGTTTATTTTGTGATGGCAATGAAAGACTGCTCAGTGGTTGTGTTAAAACATTGACCTGGCACTGGAAAATTTATTGATACTTTTTAAAGGACACATTAAAAAAGGTTGAGTCATTACGTGGAATTGGCTTAATGAATATTGACTTTTCCATCAGTGAAAGTAAGAAATAGCACAAGCCGGCTTTTGGCTTATTTTGCATTTTATAGAAACTTTTCCATTAACCCAATTTCTGACTGCTCAGAAACTGAGAAAAACATTGTTTCAAAATGGTAACTGACCAGCAGTATTTGGACAGACCTTATTTCAACCAGTAAACTACATTAGCCAGAATGATAATTTGCATTTTAAATTCTCTTCTTCCACTTACTTTACTGGATAAATAGCAGTTAGATCTAGGATTTCCAATGTGTCCATAAGGTATATGAGCTCCATCTAACCTTCCTGTTCTTTCCCCTCCAAATCAAGTCTTTGTATATATCCAGTCATTGGTTTTCATACACCCAGTAATTTATAGAAAATGAAGAGTTTTTCCATCAGTCCTCTTTGTGTTGTTCCAAATCAGCTCGCAGCTTGCTTATCCTTGTGACATTCTTCATTTCAAGAACTGAAATGGTCACATTCTGGATCTATTCTGTCTTTTCTGAAACCAGAACTACACAATGTGATGGCTTGGGGGGGGTGGCCTGTTTTTTTTTTGGCTTTGATCTTGCTTCCCCCCTGCCTCCTAGCTCTGGGATACAAGCTGATTCTTTCTCAATAGCTGTTGCAATCTAACTACATTAAAAAAGAAACAGAGACAAACTGATTAATTGAACTTCAGGCATGTGGTCAGGAGGTTAGGTAAGCCTGTCACTGTGAGTTTGTCCTTTTTATGATAAGAGTTGGGTTTGTTCTCAGCTGCCATTCCTTTTCTTATTTTCTTATCATGTGTGTTTGCTTGGGTTTTATACTAAGCGTGCTGCCCAGAGCCACAATTGTGAGAACCCCAGAAACTCCTGGTGGCATATTTGCTTGAGTCCTGTTTTTGAATTTTTCTACTGATCACCCAGAGAAAGGACTATTGCATCCTAGTCTTTCCTGTTCAATGTTAGTCTTTCAAGTCTGCTAGAAGTTAGCTTCACAATAGTTCATGGGATAAAGTGGTTTATGAGGGAAATGAAATGTTTATATGTATGAAAATGTCTATTGATAATGCTGTCTCATCTCCAGAATGAGTTTCCAATGCTGTAGAAGTGGAGCTTGTAGTGAAATTCCTCTGGGTGCCATGACAAAGAAAAATAACATTTTAGAAGATCAAATGATAGTCCAATCTTTCATAGTGGTCCTGAATGCATTCATGAAGTATTTAACAATTTCAATTTTATTTTATAAATTTTATTTCAAGTGTTTTTCTGTTTTGAAGTTTTATTTTTTTTAAAGTTTTTAATGTTAACTTTTTATTAATTTTAATATTCTAAATCCATTTTTGTTTTGCATTTCTGGCAAGATCTCAGGAGTTAGTGGTTTCTCCTTTATTGGAATTATTCAAGCAAAGTGATCCTCTATCAAGGATGCTGTTGTAGAATTCCTGCATTGAGAAGGGAATTGGTCTAGATAATCTAAAAAATACCTTCCAATCCTTATATTCTGTTATGCAACATTGTGCAGTTGTGTGGATCATTTAAAAGTCTTGCTGTTCCTGTCCTAGAGCACCTCTGTATTTTAAATCTCAGGACTTCTTTCTGATCGCAATGTTTTCTTTACAGTAACAAAGGGATGGAGCATCTTCTTAGTATGAAGTGCAAGAATGTAGTGCCAGTCTACGATTTGTTGCTGGAGATGCTCAATGCTCACACTGTCCGCAGTAACAAGAAAACACCCGTCTCCAATCTTGAGAATAGCCCATTGGAACCAACAGAGACAACAGATGGAATTCAGCAGTGATTTCATAGAAGTCAAAATCCAGGAAATACCCAAAGAAAAAAAGAATTAAGAAATATCGAGATCAAAACTTTGGATATTCGCTGTTAAAAGCAAACTACAGCATCTTTACAATTTTTACTGGACCATTTGTTAATCTTTTTCAGACTGAATGTTGTCTGTCAACTTAGACGGTTTTAGAAAAGCCCCATGTGGTTGGAACTGAACAAACAGCTGATGATTTATGGTTTTATCAAATGTTGCATTTCTGGAGTGCCTTCTAGAGGAGACTGTTTAACTGCCAAAACAGCCTTAAGCTTCATGGTATCCTAGGTAGATGCCAATATAAGCTTTTTTTTTTTGCTTTTTTTAAAGGAGAGCTGGACAACTCAAAAACCTAAGATCTCACAAATGAATATCTGTCAGGGCAGAAAGAGAGGCAACTTCTGATAAGAAACTGAGTAGTTTGACATGACGCTGTTCATCAATGCATCAAGCTGCACATTTGAGCAAACAGGAGAAACTGCTTGCATTAAAAATGCATGTCGTTCAGCTTGTTAATTGCAATGGACATTAATATGTTTTTCCATTGTGCAAATGTACTTTAGATAAATTGGTAAAGGGGAATAATGAGCAGGTCTTCATATTTAATTGCAAAGCCTTGGTTTGGAGCGTTTGTTTCTAGATTCATTCTGATAAAATGAACTGGAAGCATTTTAAAGCCCCAGTTTGTCTTGACTGCTATCTAAGCATTTACCATGCATTTGGGTTCCATGTTCAAGTACCTGTGGCTTTATTTCCTCTTAGAAGCTTGTACAATATACTGCTATTGTTGTGAAGGAATTATTGCAATGAATATTCAGCATTTGTGAATAGTGATGTAATATTTGAAGTACTAAAGATCAAAATAATTATGGTTATTTTATATGAATAAGAAGAGATTCAGGTGTTTATAGACAAACCTGGAAGTACAAAATTGGAAATGGAGGACCAAACAGAATGTGTCTGATCAACCACCCTATGCATGTCCATGTGCCAATCCATCAGCCCTGTCATTCATATTCATGTATCCTTACCAGCTTCTCATTGTAGGAGGCAGCTCTACACAAATATATAAAAGGTAGTCAAAGCTGATGGCATAATTAAGGACAGTTAAGGAATTGTGCATGCATTATTGTCCCATATGAATACCTAAATGCATACATTATTCTAAAGCTTGCAGAATGATCTGCGTCATATGTGAGTTTTGTATGCAAGGGCTTGGGATATTCAGTAAAGGTTCTGCAAATAGTCCATGTGAAAAGCACCATAGATAAGTAATGACAAAAATTATGTGAGACTGCCAAATCTTGGAGTTTTAAGCAATTAACTACTTTAAAATTGAATAATGAGAATTAATCGGGAGGAGAGATTTTAACGGATACTTGAGAAGATTGTGGATGCGTCTTGAAGCTCCCATGTTGTTGACCTTGGGTTTATTCAATGGTCCTTTATCAGCTTTTTATTTCAATGTAGCATTTTTTTTTATTATGGAGAGTTGTTTGTGAGTTAGTGTTGTCTTCTGGTGACTGCCAGGACAAGTCCCTGCCGTTTTCTTGGCAAACTTTTTCAGAAGTGGTTTACTGCTTCTTCCTAGGGCTGAGAGTGACTGGCCCAAGATGACCTAACTGACTTTATGCCTAAGGCAAAACTACAACTCACAGTCTCCTAGTTTCTAGCCTGGTGACTTAACCACCACACCTGGTTCTTGCTGATCACAGTGTAGTGATTAGCATAAAAATAAAAGCTGAGAACAATCAATCTATGGAAACATCAAATCCAGTTCTATACATATAAAATAATTTAGATGTGCTCAGCTGCCTGGTGTAATTTGACACATCAATGGGCTTTTGCACTTTTATTTTGAACACGTACTTTCAGTCTGCTATTTACTGTATGGAACAAAGTATAGAATTGGAATCTAGAGCAGGATAATGGAAGTCCTCAGGAGTCCAGTAGTCAACCACTTCAGATTTGGTTCAGAGCATTTATCCCACCTCTTCAGCTGGCACAGAAGGGGTGGGTGGGACTAAAATACAGGTAGTCCTCGAGTTACGAGTGCAATGGAGGCTGCCCATTCCACTCGTAACTCGAAAACTCATAGAGTGAATCTTGTACCTTGAACGAGATTACTCCCTTGCTTGTTAAAACGCACGTGGCTCATTAAGCGAACATGAGATATCTCAGGGTGGGGAAGGCCATGGAAGGTCTAGTGATGGAACAGATCCCCAAGGCCTCCCTGACCCACTAAGATACTGCATGCTTCCCCCTCCCTTCTTGCCGTACCGGACTCACCTAGAAAAGATCCATCTCCTCTCTGCCACGGTTCCTGCTGCCACCCGGATCTGAGGCTGGGGGATGCTTCTGCGGCCCCTGCAGGCCGATCCAGGCTCTGGAGGCCTTTTCCAGGCCGCTGCCACCTAGCTTTGAAGCCAGGGAACACTTCTGCGCCTCCCGTGGCCCGATCAGGCCTGGAAATTGTTTCCGGAGCCCAGATCAGGCTATGAGGGGCACAGAAGTGGGCCATCGGGAGGCACAGAAGCGGGCCACGGGGGGCACGGAAGCATCCCCTGGCCTTAGATCCGGGCCACAGCAGCCTGGAAAAGGCCTCTGGGGCCACAGTCCAGCCTCCAGAGGCATGTGGGAGCATCCCCCAGCTTCGGTTTCATTCTCTGTTGCAGAGGCCTAAATTACTATGAGATCATGTGAGATCAGTGGCATGAGATCTCACCCCACTTATCTCACATGATCTTGCGTTACTTTAGGCCTCCATTCTCTGCAAATGCACCAACGGCCTGGAGCAGCCAAGAAAGCAAAGGATCTCGATCTTCACAGAGTGAGTATTAAAGGCCTGGTGCCTCGGGAGACCCGGGCGGGGGTGGGGAGGGAGGGAATAACCAGGATGAATGTTGCAGAGCCACTGCAGTCACTCATAAGGGCGAACAACTGCCGTGGTGGTGCAATATTCGTAACTTCGGGGCTTGCTCATAAGCACTAGGGGGCGCTCATCACGTAACTTTGAACAAGCATTAAGTGAACGTTCGTAACTCGGGGATTATCTGTAGAAACTAATTTTTAGTTTTGCTTTAGAGAAGTTTTTCTCAACCTTGACAACTTTATGATGTCTGGATCTCAACTCCCAGAATACTCCCCATGCTGTCTGGAAAATTCTGGGAATTGAAGTCCACACATCTTAGAGTTGCTAAATTTTAGAAACACTGCTGTAGGAAACCCAAAGTAGGGAATAGAAATTTTGGCTGAAACTTTTCTGTGCGCTTATGGAAACAATGGTGCAAATGACAAAATTCAGTTTCAGTGTTTGGGGTTTATAGTTTGCAGCAGAAAGTTCAACATTGTAATTTTCCCAATGTCTGATAAATGCATGTTTTTCTCAATTAGACTTCATGCATTTTTCACTATAGCACCCAACTGTGCATGTGATAACATCAGGAATGGCAGAATTTAAGAACAGAGTTTGGGGGTGAGCTTATCAATTCAGCTTGATTCCCCAGTGTTCTCTGGTTCCTACTTTCATTTTTATCTTGAGGAAAGAAAACATAAAAATCAAATAGGGTAAATAAAGTATAAGAGAGCCCACAACCATTCTTGCAAAATAGAGTTCTTTGTCCATTGAGGTTGATGCCATAACAAATTTGTCCATCTGCAAAGGGGCATCAGACTCCTTCGAAGTTTCTGCAACAGTGAAATATGGCTACATTTCAGGATTAATCCAGCTAAACCTCTTTTGTCTCTGCCCAAAGTACTTTACTGGATTTTTTTTTTGCTAGATGTTTTCATTGCCTTAAAGAAACATTTCTTTGTTCTCTTATTAAAGGAACACCTTTAATTTTCACCTGAAAAGCTTTAGCTTTGCTCCTTTCTTTCATGAGCAGCAACTGTTGTATGCCTTCAATTGTGTCATTGTTACAGATCTCCACCTAGATCAAATAAATGGGTTAATTTAGAAATACTGTATGTGAGCAATTCAAAAATTTTGAAGATGTTGAAGTCAGAATTATTTTTAGAATGTTATTACATAGTTCACAGTTCAAAACAACTTCACAACAAGAATATGTATTTTCAGAAAAATGTAGCCAAAAATTGAAAGAAAAATTCTCCTCAAAATGTATTTATTCTAGGGGGAACTTATTTTCAAAAAGCATGGATGCTAGGCAAATGTGTATAAATATGTGTTCCTTAAAGAAAGAATACCCCCATTTGTACATATCGACAAAGATATTTACAAATAATGTGTGACTCTTCTACTTAATTAAGAATGAAATCAAAGAAAACTTGCAACCAGAAAGATGAGAAATTTGATAGAATTGTTATGTGAGAAAGATGGGCAGATTCAAAATTCGATATTTTTTTTTAGCTTTACCATGTGATACACAGTTGTATAAAATGGAAAGGAACTATTAAGGAAATGGCATTCCCCATGTTCCCTTCATCTCTGCAGTTTTTTTCCTCATTCTCATCATCAATTCATCTATTCATTACACTTCCCCATATAGTGTCTTTCTCTTCATTTTGCTTTGTTTACCTTATAGGAACAATTATATAGACACCAAATGTTTTATTTGGCACTATTAAGCAATTACGGGATTTGTTCTTAGACAGTACTGCATTTGGTTATTACTGATGTATCTAGTGTTTGATCTGTGGTAGCACATTTACACATTGCCGTTTGTTTTTACAGTCACCCATTGACCAATTTATTGTGTGTAGATGTATCTGTGAAGGTATTGTAAGGAAATACTTCTGAAATTTATCTCAGGAACGTCTGGAGGACATGTAAGTTTATTGCATCAATATGTTAAAATTGTTTTTTTTTAATGTAATAGGAAAATAAGATAATATTTTAAAAAATCATCGGCTAAACATAACGATTGAAGGAATTTAATAGAGAAATGCAAAAAAGGCAGTCACGCATTTTTTGTCCATGAATTGACTGAGCCTTTGTAAAATATGGAATGAATAGGACAAG